AAAGTCACTTAACCTCAGTCTGCCTCACTTTCCTCATGGGGAAATGTAACAGTACCTACCTTCCAGGGTTATAAGGATCACATGAGAGCGTGTTTGTAAAGCAGCTAGTCTGGAACATAGTAGGTGCTATATAAATACTTATTCCCTCCCCTTCCCTTCTCTACTCTCCTACTTACTACCTGTGTGACCTGGGGAAAAAACACAACCTTTCCAGGCCTCAGTTTTCCCTTTCATGAAATGAGAAAGTTCACTTCTAAGGTTCCCTTTACTTCTACATCAGTGACCCTCTGAGTAGTGGATAGAATGTTGGGCCTGGAGTCAAGAAGACTCATCTTCCTGAGTTCAAATGTGGCCTCAGATACTTATTAGCTGTGTGACCCTGGGCAAGTCACTTTACCCTGTTAGCCTCAGTTTCCTCATCTGTAAAATGAACCATAGAAGGAAAGGGAAAACCACTCCAGTATCTTTGCCAGGAAAACCCCCAAATAGGACATGAAGAGTTGGACACAACTGAAAAACAACTGAACAACAAAAATGAACATACTGTATTTACTCATTTCCCTGCTACTTTTTATTTGCTATGAATATATTGTTTTCCCTCAGTACAATGTAAGCCCCCTTGAGGGTAAGGCGTGTTTTCCTTTTTGAATCCCTAGGGCCTTGATCGATGCCTGGCACAGAATAGATACTTAATAAATGTGGGTTAAATTGAAATGCCTTGACCAGTCATTGGGAAGTTAAGATTAGAGATTGTTTTTTCTAATTTTGCAGATAAGAAAACCGAGGCTCATAAAGTCTAGTGACTTGCCCAAGGTTCCACAGCTAGAGCCCAGGCTTTCTGAAAAGTGCCGAGGCCAGTGAACCCTGTTTCAACCTCCTCCTGCTGCTGCCCAGGAATGACTGGCACCGATTTCCTCATGGCAGGTAATGAACCTGAAAAGCACATGCTTGTTTCCAATCATCCATCAAATCCCACTTCTGGAATCAGCCCCATCTGGGGGAGATGCACACGTTGTGACACAATCCAATAAAAAATAAATGAAGGAAATGACTTTATTTCTGACTTCATCCATCTCTTATTTGAACAGCGAATACACTAGTTAAAGTTTATACACAGCCTGTTGGAAAACTCATTCTCCTGTGAAATATGGTTATGGTTAGCTTTGATGTGAAGCATTCCTGTTCATTTTCAACAGGTTTGGGGAGGAGAGAGGAAAGAGAGAGAAAAAGAGAGAGAGAGAGAGAGAGAGAGAGAGAGAGAGAGAGAGAAGAGAGAGAGAAGAGAGAGAGAGAGAGACAGAGAGACAGAGAGAGAGAGACAGAGAAAGAGAGAGAGAGAGAGAGAGAGAGAGAGAGAGAGAGAGAGAGAGAGAGAGAGAGAGAGAGAGAGAGAGAGAGAAACAGAGAAGTAGTAAGGGAGAGAGGAAAAGAAAGGAGGTAAGGAGACAGAGAAACAGTGAAAGGGGGTTGGGGAGGGAAAGAATTCTCTAGGACTGTTTCACAGAATCCCAGAACTTCAGCCATGGAAAAGATCCCAGAGGCAATCTAGTCCAACTGGTAACTGACCAAAAATTATCCTCTCCCCTCCACATCCCCAGCCTTTCCTTGAAGCCCTCTAAGGAAGGAGGGGACCTCCTCTCATCTCTCCAGGAAGCCTATTTCACTTTCAGACAGTTCTAATCACTAGGAATTATTTCCTAACATGGACCCTACTTTTTTCTCCATGCAACTTCCACCCCCTGCTTCCAGTTCTGCCTCCTGAGGCTAAGCAAAGGAAGGGGAATTCTTAAAATTCTTGTCAAATATCTTCTTTTGTGGATAGAGGGCCCCCAATATCATATTGGGGACACTATTTTTACTTAACAAAGCCTAGCCCCTAAGGCTATTTCAAAGTTTAGAAAGGAAAAACTTCAATCCAGAAAAGAGCCCTGGAGGTTCAGTTTCAATTTGGGATCATATGGGTCCAGCCTCCAATAGGACAACTGCAAACTCAGAGCCAGTAAGGTGCCCAATAACAGAACAGGACTATCCCTTCATGAATGTGTATTGAACTGAATAGTCTTAATATCAGGGAAGAGTCAGATAGATTCAATAGAATCTTTTTCTAAACCCCCAACAGCTCAATGTGTTTTTATCTGTTTTCACTTCTCCCTACTTCCTCCTTTCTCTCTCTCCTCTCCTCCTTTCCTCCTCCCTCTCTTCTTTTCCTCCCTCTCTTCTTCTTCCTCCTTCTCTTCCTCTTCCTCATTCTTCTTCTCTCTCCCTCTCCCTCTCCTCTCCTCCTCTCCCCTCCCTCTTCTCCTCCTCATTCTTCTCTCTCCCTCTCCTCTCTCTCTCTAGTTTTCAACAAACATTTATTAAGAGCTCACAGTATATGCCATGGAGTATGGATACAAGGAAAAATATAAGAAGAGCCCCTGTCCTTGAGACACTCACAGTCTAACTGGGGAGACAACAAGCAAGCAGTGATATACCAACAAGATTCAAAACAGGATAAATTGGAGATAATAATGAGAGGGAATGCACCAATGTTAAGGGAAAATGGGAAAGGCTTCTTGTAGAGGGCAGAAAGTCATGTGGGAGTTGGAGGAAGCCAGGAGGTAAAAATGGGGAGGGAGAGCATTCCCGGGCAAATGCCTGGAGGCTGGAGATGGAGGGGCTTGTGTGAGGAGCAGAAAGGAAGCCCATACCGTGGGATCACTTGACAACCTGCTGCCTTCCCATCTTTCTCATCTTTTCAAACATATTCCCAGCTCTACTCCTAGCTAGCTCTGTTGCCTGGAAGAAGTGACTCAGCGTCTTTGAACCTTGTAACCTCATCTGCAAATGGAGAGGGCTGCGCTTCTGAGGTCCCTTCCTACCCTCGAGCCAGGACTTTGGTCAGGTCACTTAGTTACTAGGCAGCCTACGTGGCGGACTAAAGAAAGTATTGAACTGGGAATCACGAAGACTCAAATTCAAATCCTGCCTCAGACACTAGCAGCGATGTCCCTGGCAAGTCCCTTAACTCCTCTGTGCCTCAGTATCCTCATCCATAAAATGGACAGGTTGGACTTGGTGGCCTGTAAAGTGCCATCCATGACTCTATGATTCTGTGATTCAGGGCTAGTTGAAGTACAGCCAACACCTTCCCTCCTACCCCATCAGTGCTTCACTGATACTGTGTCTGACCCGTAATTTTAACCAGGGAAAGGTTTTCCAGGGGTGGGCTTTGATTCTGCCGAGCATTTTGTTGAGAGAAGCAAGTCAAGTTCCTCAAAGTCCTGATTCCCAGGACTTTCACTTACAGACAGCAGAAAGACTTGAGGATCCACATGCCTGCAGACTCCTTCCCCGTAGTATTCAGAACATGGCATTATTGGGATCCATTTAGTCTTCTTTTCTTCCCTTAAAAGGGTTAAGCACAGGTTCCCCACAAAAGTGCAGGAGGGCTAGATGTGATGCCTATATTACTCCTGGGCAGGGTACCATTTGCAAATTCATGACAGATCTGTGATTTTGTGAGCAAAGAGAACTTTTGGTATGGAAACTCTGCTCCTCCTCCCAGCCCTCCATATGGATCTCTGCTGATCTGTCTATGATAAATTCTTTTAGAAGATAAATTCTGAGGACTTGCCTGAGGTACATAAAAGTTAAATGACTTGCCCAGGGTCACATAATCAGTGTGTGTCAGAGGAAGGACTTTAACAAAGATAATCCTGACTCTGCACCCATCACTCTATTCACCACACAAGCCTGCTATCATTATATTTTTAAATTGGTTACCTGGCCAAGACACTTAACATCCCAGTGTTTTAGGCAACTCTAAAACTGTAAGTTTCAGAACAGTTACTGATTTTCACTGGTGGAAGGAGTCTCCAAACTGGGAGTTCCCTTTGCCAGTGAAATCAGAAATGATTCTTCTGCCATTTATATACATCTACACACACACACACACACACACACACACACACACTTACATAATTATCCTCTTAGGAAACAGATTCTGGTGAAGTGACTTGAGAAAGGTCACATAAAAATATACATCCAAGGTGGGACTTAAAGCCAAGTTTTCCTGTTTCCAATACAAGCTCTCTATCCAGTATTCCATGTTGCCTCTCATATATATTCAGATCAATATGTATTTATGGGGTACACACTGTATTATGAGGGTACATGAATCTCATGAGAGAGAACATTTTATTATGGTTTGGATTACAATTTGCATTAGTGGAGAGAGTAGTCACATGCTTATCATTGTGGGTCCATGCAGGATGGGGGTACAGAATAAGGAACAAAGGAGTAGAAGGTAGGGGGTGAGGAACAGGGACCGGACATGTGATTTCATTGATATAAGGAATGACCAAATAAGGAAACTCTCTCCATCAATATAGTTTGGGATTTTATCTGTAATTTATGCTTTTAGAGAGCTCTCAAGAGTACTGAAAGGTTGTGACTTGCTCAAGTTCATATAGTCAGTATATTATCAGAGGCAAAATTTGAACCTCAATCATCCTGGTGCTGATGCCTCTCATACATGTTTATATGTGTGTATGTGTGTGTGACAAATTAACAAATCTACCCCCATTCTCCTATAAAGCTACCCTTTTCTTTGTCTGTTTCTTCCCTCCCACTCACAAAGGCATGCTGCCAGTCTTAACCTACAATTTGGAAAGAGAAATGCAGCAAATAGACAGAAGGGAAAGAAGACTCTTACAGGAAGACTCAGCATTTTAGCAAAATCCATTAACAAATCAGAAATGATAGCCCACTCAGAGAGGGATTCAGCCAGGCTACAGCCTTTTTTGGGGCAGAGGACTGAAGCCAGCCTCCCTCCCTTACATCCAACAGCCCAAATTATGCCCTACTTAAGCCATTGCTAAAGACTCCACAAGAGACCCAGTTGGAATGCTCCCTCCCCCAGACTTTGTAGGAAGTTTGTCTGTTCCTAGATGGCCTGTCATCTCCCAATCTGGCAAAGCTCATTAAGGCAGAAGGAGAAGGGGTTCAGATTCTCCCACCTTTCTTTCTGGAGTCTCTCTTGGTGCTGGATTTAACAGCCACTTGCAGGTCTGTCTCCGTTGACATCCTATTATATCCTTAGGCCTCTTCACACAGATCCAGTGTCTTGGGCAGGCTCATTGAGAATTCCTCTCCCAGAGAATGGCTTCTCCCTTCAGATACTATGCCCACTGACAGCACATCTCACTCACTCCGCTCAAGTGCTGAAACATAAAACAAACATCACCATCTTAATGGTCAGGTAGTCGAAGCAAATCAGGGGGAAGAGAAAACAAGTCATTGGCAAAGGAAGCCTCATTCTCTCCCACCGTCCTTAACGTAATAGGTACAGATGCAAGTATCTTTCAGTAAATTCAGCGTGGGAAAGGCTAGACTGAGATCAAAGTCCTAAGGATGAGGCTGGGCAAGATGGTGCTGGGAGCCTGTTTCTTTTCCAATTTGTTAATTCTAGCCTCTTTCATTTTCCTGATGACAACACCAAATTATATGCCAGGAATGACTCTGGAACAGAATTATGGAGGACTTTTCTAAGGGGAAGGCACTGATTAAGCCACCAAGGTTCAGAGAAGTGACTTGCCCACAGTCCCATAGCCTGGAAGCCTGCATTCAAAACCAAGCTTCCTGGTTCCAATTCCAGTGTTCACATGCCATGCTGCCTCTGAACTGCCCACATGGGTCAAAAGCCATAACGGTAATCTCATACCCTCTGTGACTATCTGTAATTCCTACAACCATAAGAACTACTGATTCTATATTGCTTGAAAGGAGCAAATCCCATTCACGAAGCAGGTTCTTCATGATTACTTTGTGAGGGAAGTACTACAGATGAAGAAACTGTGGCTGAGAGAAAGTAAATGACTCGTCCATGGCCACACAAGGAGGAAGCATTTGGAGCCACAATCCAAGCCAATCACAGATCACAGATCACAGATCACAGATCACAGATCACAGATCACAGACCGAGAGTTCGAAGAGCCCTTGGAGTCCATCTGGTTAAACATCTCTTTTCAGAGACAAGGGAACAGAGGTTGGAGGTCATTATGTAAGTACCCAGCATCACAGGATGGCAAATGGTGGAGCTGGGATTTGAACCCAACTCCAACACCAGTGTTCTTTGCCCCACCCCATCCTATCTCTCTCTCTCTCTCCACCCCAATTCTAGTATTTCTACCATGGCAGGGCCCTTAGTTCACCAGGTCCCAGAGATGATGGGCAATCCCAGCAAGGCGAAGGGGGTAGGTAAGGAGAAGAAGCAAGGGGGCCAGAGCACACTTAAACAACATGGTGGCTGATGTTTATGCTACTGAAAACTTAAAGGGACCTACATTTAAGGGTAAATTTATTTAATATTGATAGCTATCATGACTGATTATGCTTTTGTGGACCTGAGGACCTGGCAACAGAAGAAGAGAGAGAAAGAATGAAAAGAAGGAAACCTCCCCCAGCCTCTCTTAATTCTATTGCCTTCCTTCTCTTAATTATCTCCTATTTATTCTGTATGTAGTTTGTTGTGCAGATATGTGTTATCTCCCCCATTAGATTGTAATATTCTTGAGGGCAGGGACTGTCTTTTGCCTCTTTTTATATTCTCAAAGATTACAACAAAGGCTTGCACAAATTAGAGGCTAAGTAAATATATAATTGATTGATTGATTAAAATCAGAATAATACTAGTGCCTCCCTCCCAGGATTGTAGTGAGGATCAAATGAGATAATATTTGTTAAGGGTTTAGTATGGTACCTGCAATATATTGGGCACTTAATATAACCACCCTCCCTCCCCTCTCTTCCTTCCTTCCTTCCTTCTTTCCTCACTATGCTGTCATTGATGAATTTAAGTCACCTCTCTGAAGTACACCCCCCCCCATTCTACATAAAAGCATTTCTATTCAAGAGCCTCAAAAATGGCTTATGAATTTCAGGAGTAAGAAGATAACATACATACACATACAAATATACATATGTATGCATGTGTGTGTGTGTGTGTGTGTGTGTGTGTGTGTGTGTGTGTGTGTGTGTGTGTATAAAGTCTCCTTGGTCCCTAATAAAGAGGGAAACAAGCCATGGGAGCTTAGCAAGATAATGTCATTGCCTAGTCCACAGTCCTATCTTGATGTCTTAAGAAGTCAAGAAGCCTGGGTCAAGTCTGAGAAGGAACCTCAAATTATTTCAGAAATACATTTATCTGTAATTAGGCAGAATCAAGTCCACCACAACCTAGAACAATGTGACAATTAAAATGACTTTTTCTCTCCCCACCCCTTGCAGGAGAAGCTGTGAAATTCTATCAGAGAAATTCAGACTCTTCCCGAATTTTGAAAAGCTTCAATAATGTTTCTTGGCGCCATGCAATCTCTGGTAATTTAATATTCCTGAAGTGTGTCAGGTTTTTTATAATGAGCTCTTCACATCAAGATGTACACTACAGACACTCTGACTGTCTGGGATGAGGGCTGAGCAATGGGGAAGTCTTGGCTTGCAGAGGATGGAATTCAACCCCCAACAATAAACAAGCCAGGAGGAAAGAGGAGCACAAAGCTGCTGGAACAGAAGGAGAACACACACACACACACACACACACACACACACACACACACACACACCTGAACACACTCATGCATACAGTAATTCACAGGCACACAAATACAAATATATCATATCATAAAATGTTGTGGCTGAAAGGAACCTCAGAAATTCTTTAGTAGGAAGGTTCTTAACCCTGAGATCCTAAACTTGTTTTTAGTTTTGATAACTATATTTCCATATATAATTTTCCCCAAATTAGATATATTTTATTTGATGTATTTAAAGACATGATTCTGAGAAGCAGTTCCTGGGCTTCCTCAGACTGGCAAATGAGTCTTCCCCCTCCAGATCCAGAGTTCCTTCCACTCAGTCATTTATTCTCTTGCTTTCTTTCCCTTCTTCCCTCTTTCTTCTCTCTCCTCTCTCCCCTTCTCCTCTATGTCTGTCTCTGTCTTTCTGTTTCTATCTCTCTCTGTCTGTTTCTGTCTTTGTTTCTCTGTTTACTTCTTTCTATTTTTCTCTTTCTCTCCTCTTTCTGTTTATTTTTGCCTTTGTCTCTGTTTTTATCTCTTTCTTTTTCTTTTTCTGCCTTTCTCTATTTTTCTATCTCTGTCTCTGCTTCTCTGTATCTCTCTCTGTCTCTGTCTCTCTGCTTATCTCTGTGTTTTTGTCTCTATCTTTATTTCCATTTTTCTCTCTGTCTCTGATTCTTTCTCGACATTTATTTCTCCATTTCTCTGTGCCTCAGTCTCTCTGCTTGTCTCTGTCTCTGAATGTGTCTCCATTTGTCTGTCTGTTTTTTTCTATTTCCCTGGTTGTTCTCTCTCTCTCTCTCTCTCTCTCTCTCTCTCTCTCTCTCTCTCTCACACACACACACACACACACACACCACACACACACACACACACTCTTGTAAATAGCAAGATGAGAAAGATAGCTGGTATACCAGATGACAGTATTGGGATCAAAGATGGCCTCAACAGGTTGGAATGTTGAGCTGAAGCTAATGAAACAGAATTAAACAGGAATAAATGTCAAGTACTGCACTTGGGCTCAAATATTCAAGCTCATGAGTATAAAATGGAGGGAATGTGATTTTTAAAAAAGGAAGAGGGGCAGCTAGGTGGCACAGTGGATAAAGCACCGGCCTTGAAGTCAGGAGGACCTGCGTTCAAATCCAGCCTCAGACCAAACACTTGACACTCACTAGCTGTGTGACCCTGGGCAAGTCACTTAACCCCAACTGCATTAAAAAATAGAAATAAAATAAAAAAGGAAGAGAAAGAAAAGAAATTCTCATGGCAAAACAACTGTGGGTTCCAGTGGCCTGAAACGGTGTAACAAGGCACCCAAAGAGTTACGGTCACCTTGAGCCAAAGCAACTAAAGTCTAGTATCTGGGACAATGAAAGTTTACATGTCATTGGCCTCTGTCAGACCTCCTTTGTAGTGTTATATCCAATCTTGGATGACACATTTAAGGAAGCCCACTAACAAGTTGGGACAATCACGTTGAGGAAGAGCCTGGGGGTCATGTCTTGGGAAAGTTACTTGTTTCAAAGCCTCTCCTCAAAGGCTTAGTCCCAAAGATCAGATGAAGATGTACTGAAAGTATTTTGTACATTCCCCTAAACAGATACAGTGGAAAATCTTAAGAAAGTAGAGAATAGCAAAGATGGAGCCTAAATGCACAAGGAGACAACAGGAAACATCACAGCACAATCAAAAGGCAGGAAAGTTGAAGAAATGCTTGAGGAATCTACAAAGCAAAGAACTGGCCTTGAAGATAGATGCCAGAAAGACAGCTGGAGAACCAGTGGCCTCTTAGAAACAAATTAACATGATGGAATAAAGAGCCAAAATGTCACATCAGGATAACATTCATAGGCAATGGGGTTGTGGTCATTCTTATAGTTTCCAGCAACAGATTCCTTAAATACTAGAAACTAAATACTAATCCTCCATACATTGGAAATGATAGGACAGTTACAGGAAAGGTGAAATCACTTGAACCTTTCGCTGTATCCAGAGTTCTGCTAGATTGACCGAAACCCCAGATCTGTAGAGCATCTCAGGGTAATCTGCCACACACTGTGCAAATCACCACCAGGGATACCCTGAGGCCTAGCAGCACCCCATCCTCCCTGTAACGGACAAAGATCATGCAGTCTGGTCCACTCATTTGACAAATCAAGAAACTGAGGCCCACGGAACTGAAATAACTGCCTCAAAATCACAAATCTAGTAAATGTCAAAGTCAGAACTTGAACCCAGATCTTGGGATTCCAAGTCCAGCACTATCACTATTCCCAAACACCACCTTGGAGAAAGCCCTTTGAAAAATATGAAGGGAACTCCAGGCAAATGTAGGGTCTTGTCATTATTCTGATATTTCTCAAGCTCTAACAAGACAATGGGGGGTGGGAATAAGACGTGTTACTTTAATCAAATCAAATAGACCAAAAGTTGTAAGTTGGGCTTAGTAATATTAGAAGAATGTATTACACAGTGATTGGGCATCCTCACCAACATTTCATTTAGCTAATGGATCCCACTGTTTCATTAAATATTTATAGCTCAATGGTATTTCATTGCAGCGATCCTTTTATTCTCTGGACACAGTAGGGAAGCTTAGCGCAAACAAAATAAGCAACATCTAAATCAACTCCATCCTTTCC